AGTTGGCGACTCCAAAGAACCAATCAAGCAAACGAGATGTAAATCGTCATTTGAAGCTCTTGCAAAGGTGTGATATCTTTTTATTTTAAATTTTTTTAGTTGATTATTAACATTTTTTAAAGTTTACTTTATAAATAGTAGAAAAATATTTTATTTTTTCAATGTGAAATTCAAAACTTTTAAATATATATATATATTAATGTGGGATTTGAATCACTTTATAATCTATGCTCACAAGAAAAAAGTTAAGTTTTTTCAATATAAGATAAAAAAAATTTTTGTTTTGAATACTTCAATTAAAAGGATAACAATATCTTTTCAATATGAGATTTGAAGCTCTTTAATATATATATATTCACAAGACAGGAGTTATTTTTTCAATGTGGGATTTGAAACCCTTTAATATATATACTTTATATTTACAAGAAAAAAAATTATTTTTTTTCAATGTAAAATAAAAAAAAAATAGTTTAAATATTCCAACTTAAAATGATAATATAGTATATTTTTAATGTGGGATAAATAACTTTCTAAAATATTTTTTAAAACTTTATTATTTAAAATATATATAGTTTATATTTACATGAATTGTTTTTTAATCTTTTTATATGAAATATTAAAGCTTTCAATAATTTTTCAATTTTTTCAAGTTAACCTATGAAACCCGAGACCTGGCGCCTTGGCCAGGTCAACTCCCGAGTCGAGTTTGATAATTATGATCACCACTACAGTAAAGTGTGATGGTTTAAATAAAAAATAATATAAATCATATAATAGGATCTTACCTAACAGTTTAAGCTATTAAGTTGAATTGATTATTTGACATAATATCAAAACTTTGATGATTAAGTAGTCACGAATTTAAATCTCACTATCTTTATTTATTTGATCAAAATAAAACATAATATCTTTAATTGCTCTTTGTTTGAACCTCTAGAAATCATCACCTCTGATTCTTCTACAGTTCTAAATCCCAAGCATGCTACTTAGAAATCTAGAGATCAATTTCTTCTTATTCTTCTTTTTTCCTCTCTCATAGAGGAAGCTATGGCTTATGTTATTGATCTTTTTACCTCTTATATTATTTAGATTGCGTTGAAGTTTGCTTTTAGTTATAGATCAAAGATTCATGAATTCATCTTAAGCATCACCAACTTTTGAAACAAGGTATTCATAGTGTTACCAAGTACTTTCTTAAGGCACCATGTGGTCACCTGGCTACCATGGGTTGTTTTGTTGATGACATTAACAAGGTCCACTTGTATTTTCATGGTTTTGATCTTGAGTTTGCCTGTTTCTCCTTCACTCAGCTCTTTATTTTCTCTTTGTCATTTTTTTTATGATCTTGTTTCAAAGGTTGAAAGCTCAAAAATATTTTAAAAATCTCTTGAAGCACCTATTGCTTCATTAGCTGCTTACACTGTCACTAAAGACACCTCTGATATATTTTGTAACGGAGGGAATAAAAAATTATATGAAAAATGAAGTTTTTTATGTTAATCATGGCAACAGTCGTGGAAATTATACTTTTTATTGCCAAATCTATCGTAGTGAGGGATATAATGTCAAACAATATCATGATCAATATGTAAAGGTTGTTGATTTTTATGCTCACCTTATTGAATCTTTTTCTCAATTTTCTTTAGTAGGTACCAATATTAAATAGTACATAGACACTAGATTCTCTGCTCATATGACTCCAAATTCATCCTAGTTGGACAAGGTTGAAACCTATAATGGTAAGGATTGTATAATAGCTAGTAATGGAGTTTTTTTACCAATCATTCATGTATGTGCTCTTTCTTCATCTAAAAATACAAAATTTATTGAATGTTTCCCTCAACTTACTAAAAAATTGTTATCTATCAACAAATTAACCTTTGATTATCCACTTTCTAATTGTTTTATTAATAAGTTGTTTACCATACAAAATCGTGCAATAAAAAAGTGGTGGCAATTGGTCACCGTGAAGATAATATTTATGTGCTTTAGCATAGTCATTCAATATTTCTTTCTATTCTTAAAAATAATTCCCTTCGTGCTTCTTATGGTGTTTGGTATATATGTTTGGGTTATTATATTTTTTATTAAATAAAAAAGGGCATCTCTTTGTTATTTTTTTTATTTCTTCCATTTTGTGTGTTGCTTATCAAACTATTAAAAGTCACAAACTACATTTCACCTCTAATGATCAACACTCTAAGAATGTTTTAGACTTTATTCGTTGTGATATTTGAGCCTTACTTATGTTATGTCTTCTTCAAATGATTGTTATTATATTATTTTTGTTAATGATTACTCTTGCTTTACATGGTTTTATCTCATGACATTAAAATCATACATTTAAAATTTTTCTACAATTTCAAACCTTTGTTGTATTTCATCAATTCTCATGTAAGATCAAAACTTTTTAAAATGATTGGAAGGTTGAATTTATGAGTAATCAGTTTCAGTCTTATCTCATTGCTTCTGGCATTCATCACCAAATTTCTTGCCCCTACACTCCATCTTAGAACGGTCAAGCTGAACACAAGCATCGACACGTTACTAAAACTGATCTTGCTATGTTATTTCAATCTGATGTCCCTTTATCTTGTTGGGTTGAGGCATTTAGTATTGTTATCAACACTATCAATCAGTTGCCCACACTTGTTCTTGATGGGCTGTGTCCTTGTAAGGTACAATATGGTAAGCTAACCACATACGAAAATTTTCATCCTTTTGGCTTTCGTGTTTTTCCTTATTTACGAGATTATGTTTCTTATAAGTTTGCCCCTCTTGATTGTATATTTCTTGGTTATAGGATATCTCCCAAGGTATTTATATGTTCTTGATCCCTTTACACAACTTAAGTGCCTTACTTGTGCTCAACTTTTTGATAGCAAGTCGGTGTCCACACCCATGGTTGTTTTTCAGTGGCTAACTAGTGATGGTGATTCCTTTTCTGATCCTACATTGTATCGCTGGTGGTGGCATTGCAGTGCTTGACTATTACTCGTACCAATCTTGCTTATACTGTAAATTTTGCAATTCAATACATGTAATCTCCTACTATAGATGACTTTCAAGCACTCAAGGGTACTCTTCATTATGTCAAGGGCACACTCCATTATGGGCCATATTTCTCTTCTTCTCCACCTACAAGCATTCTTGCCTACTTTGATGTTGGTTGAGCTAGTTGCCCTAACAACCGTTACTTCACTTCCGGTTATGCAATCTTTCATGGTGAAAAACTTGTGGTGTGCTAAGAAACAATTCATTGTTTCTCATTTTAGTTATGAATCTTAGTATCGAGCATGAGCTCACACAGCCTTTGAAGTTCTTTTGGCTCTCTCACCTTTTTCAGGACCTCAGGGTTTTTATAAAACATCAACCTTTCCTTTCCCGTGATAACAAAAATGCAATCTTCCTAACTCTTAATGCTATTTCTCACAAACATATTGATCTTGATTATCATTTGATTTGAGAGCTAATTGCCTCTAGTGCAATTCAACCTCAATCTATGCCATCCTAGATGCAAGTTGCTGATATATTTACAAAGAGCCTCTCTCAATTTCTCAAGCTTCGTGTTCGGGTCAATCCCACACTAAGCTTGCAAGGCAGTGTTAAGGATACAAGAATATTGTATCCTGATTCACTTGATCCTCTGGATTGTAGGAAATATTTTAGGAGATATCCTAGATTAGTTGTCAAATGTGTATTATGAATACTGTACTTTCTTATAAATAAGAAACATCACCACCAGAGTAAAGCATGGTGGTTTTATAAAGCTTTTCAAGGTCGAACAAGCAGCAGTAGCGCGTCATGAGTATGCGTGTGTTGATCATGTCATAGAGTATGTGTTAATGTATACTACTGCATTTTCTTCATTTCTGTAATCCCAGAAGTTTCGAAATTATGTTCCTCAAGACAAGGAGCTTCATGAGGGTAAGCTTGCTCCGCTAGTCCTACCAAAGTTTGAAGATCCTGTTGCATCAGTACCTCCTCCATTATAGAAGAAAGAGGTAATTGTGACCTTCAAGTACCAAGTTTTCCTAGAAGTAGCCTGTGTCTTGTGAGTTCGCTCTTTTCGCTCTTTTTTTATTTTTTATTTTTTAGCTTCTGCTTATAATTTGTGCTGCTGACTTTGGGTAGATGTTTAGGATCCATTTCTCAACATTGCTCCAAAGAAGCCAAACTGGGACCTGCGAAGAGATGTGCAGAAGCACGATAAGCTTGAAAAACGTACACTTAAGGCAATATGTAAACTGGGTAAGTGACCTCGCAGAGTTTGATTTTGCATGTGTGATGAAGTCTCGTATGAATATTAGCTATTTTAAATTAACAAAGCTGTCATCTATTTTCCATTTAAAGTAACCTCATATCAATAATCAGTCTCATCACTGTCATTTTACAGAGGAACAAGAAAAAGAAAAGCAAGTGGTTGAGAATGGTGGCAATGTTATTTACGATTAGCAGCATATTTTACCAAGAACAGAATTGTGGTTCGATTGACCTTTTAAAGTTGCAGCCTTGTGATACAACTGGTTTACTTCTTCAGTAATGAATCCAGCATTACGAAATCGGAAATATTAGTAACTGAGGAAACCGTGTTTCATGTTATGTGCAATATGACAACCCAGATGTACGTGATAATGGCCTTTTATTGTTTAGCACCAAGCTGCTTGCAGTTCATGCAAATTCCGGGTTCATATGTCACTCTCTATCAGAGTTTTATTTGGTGAAATGATATGTTTTTTTTTTTTTTAAGATGATATTTGATGAGGCACTTGAAGCAGCTCATTTGCTATCAATCTTAATGATGACATGCTAATATTGAGATTATATAACATAAAAAATGCAGCACCAAATGTTTGCTGTAGATCAAGAAAGGTATTACTCGGGGGAAAAAAAAAGAGAACTGTTTGCTTTGCAAGAAAAATGATGACATTATTTCTTTCCCCCGCCATTTGAAGCCGTGCACCCACACCAGCTGTAATCAATTTTTCACACCAGCTTTCTATCAAACTAGACAATTTCAAGATCAATGAAGAGAACGTCATTGTTGGTAAAGAAACATCAACACTTTTCAAGCAGTATCTAATTTACACACAACAAGAACTTGTACAGAGGTCGATGACACGGATCACTTACAGGTCTTGACAAAGGGAGAAGAGACGCAGAAGGGAAAAAATCAGAAGAGGCTGGAACACCAGGTGCTAAAAGGAAGTTTTGGCACACAATCAAAGAATGGTTCTCTGGTTGACTTGCCAATCCCACGTCTCAAAACAAATTTTTGGCCCCATGTGTATCTTTTTCTGAAAATGCAGTATGACCTATCTTCGCTCACCCTTCAGGTGGTTCGAACTGGCTTGTCCAACACCAACATTCTCCTCATTCCAGGAAAGGACCACATCAGGGAGCTGAAATTCATCTGGTTTCAGCGCCAAAGAAAAATCAGGCAATGTTGGTGCTGTCTCCATGATTCTGCAATCAACATCACCAAATCCCCAAATTACAGGATCAGGTGACTCCACTTGTTAACCACGCAAATAGGAAATGATTCCAAGGAAGAAATTCACCTGCTAAAAGGACCACTTACTTTTCATGGGAATATAGATCACGGTTTATCCGCACCTTGCTAGAAGTATCTTTTGGAATTTTCTCAGAGAGGTACTTCATGGTTCCCCAAAGCGGTGGGTTTCTGCACAAAGACAAATCAAAACTTGAAAAGGAGACCCGAAGAAATGGTAAGGTATGGGTAAGAGTTGTCACTCAGTGAGAAAAGGTAAAGCATTTACAATCACTCGCATAGAATTCAATAAGAAAAGTCACAAAATTAAGAAAATCCAAGTCCTAATGCAAAGTCCCATGGAAACAACAAGGTAGAGCATTAACAATTCCATAGACATGCCGAGATGCTGAAGCATTAACAGCTAAGAATCCTAGCAACAGTACATTTTCTTTTAACGGTACCACAGACTTCGTTGTAGCATGCAATGAGATCAAGAAAAAATGAATACGTTTCTGCTTTCTTTTACTGAAGATTAAGATTCCCTAACAACTTGCATTATATTGAGATTATGAGGGGAAAAAAAAACAAAAAACAAACTACACCATAAAATAAAATGAGAAAGTATCCACAGCATTGCTCATCACAGAAAGGCAAGTTATGAAGATAATGAGCTGGAGGGACTTCGGTAGATGCATTACCTTGACAAAGGAGAAGCTGCATTGAATGCCTCACATGATCGTTTACTTTCTTTAAAATATTCATCTGCAGCTTGCAAAGCAGCTACAGCCATCCCATGAGACTTTTCTGTGTTCCCTTCATCAAGGATTAAACCATGATAATAGTATGCTGCAGCCTGGTTTGGTGAAACAATATTACTAAAAGAACAGTGATTTTGATTGATAGCTATGAAAAGGAAAATACAATAGAAAGGATTTTTTTTTAAAAAAAAAGGAAAACATATTATCTAATTACAGCAGGGAATGAGCAATAAATGGCTAGAAAAGTCAACAGTGAGATTATGTTAAACCAATTTCAGCCTGCTGATCCAAATTCCAATAAGTCTCATGCTGTGGGAAGGTCAAATGACATAAAGACAAATCATTTTTGTTATCTGGCTGCTCTTGTGCGCGTGCCCATGTGTGTGTGTGTGTTGGAAGATTCTGAGTGGACAAGACAGTTAGGTGTTACTGATCAGTTCTGACCAAAACCATTTGTTTAGCGCTCAAGAACCAGGAGAAAATATGTCAGGCTGCTGTGAGATTAAAGGTCAAGGGCAATTTGAGAGTTGTTACAGCAAGCACAGTTTCCTGAGTGCAATTCAGCTTGTTTTACCAATCACTTGATCATTGATGTGGTAAAAGGTGAAAATGGGAAGCAAAGAAGTACGGTAAGAAGAAGAAAGGAAGTTAGTTAAGTTCATTATGTTTAAGGCAGCATTGATATCCCTATTCCAATGCCAATCAAATGCTGTGAATTAGATGGTTGGTTCAATTATTACTAGTTCATGTTTTCCGTGCAACATTGCATTGGGAGAATACACACTTTCATTTTCATAGTTTTAAGATCTGAAAGCAACAGGAAGGACAGCGTCTAATGTGAATGATGACAAAATACAGAGAGGAAACAAAGGAATGAAAGCAATTTTTGCATACCTTTGCCTCCACATATTTCCACTTTATGAAGAGCCGGTGCTTTTCCCCCCAACTATTTGCTAATGGAAGGTTCATTATATTATCTTGAGCCTGTCAAGAAAACAATAAAGAAAAAAAGAAGATGAAGCTACAAGGGTAATCAATGCACAACTATTGTTTGTACAAAAACTGAGTTTATAATTTATTTGTTTGTCAGGATGAACACAGTTAGTGCCCTCATACCTGCTGCCAGTACTTTACCATCTCACAAGCAAGCCTTCGCTTCACTGCAAGAGTAGCTTTGGCACTATCGATTGCCATTCCTAATTGGATATCAACACCCTGCATCAGATGGAAAGAATAGAGAGACCATAAGACAGCAAAAAGAATATTTAACCAAAACAGAGGGAAACAAGAAAAGGAGGTGATCTGAAAACTGTAAAAGAGAATTCTGTCTATTTGAATTAGCAGCTCAAAGAGACAACTCCAAACACAAAGCGGGGAAGGCGGAGATCTTAATCATTCTGAACATGTCAACTGCTAAAAGGAGTTTTTACAATAAATCATCATCGCAATTTTACTGCCCAAAGAGGTTTCTTGCTCCTAATATGTCCTTTATGTGCTACAAGCCTAAAAAGAAGAGGGGTTGGAGTCCTATATATCAACAATGCAAGAAAATGATTGGTATCAGTTAGTGGGTAGCCAACTTATGTATTGGTAATCAAGAAAGATGTAAAAAGAGAAGTTTCATCTAAAATCTTCTAGATAGTCTCCATATGCAACCGCCATTCATACATGTCAAGGATATCATGGGCAGAATTTCTGACTTCATCAAACAAAACCATAAAGGATAATAAGTCACTACCTGTCCCAATGCTTGAAGGCAAAGTGCTCTAAGAACACCTTCTGCAAGGTCCACTGGTAAATCTTCCCTGGAAGCAATATTTATTCAAGTCAGATTGGATATGCAATGAAGATAAATATAATGAAACTTGAGCACATCCACTCTTGGTAAGTCTTTCAGCTATGCAAACCTTAGTGAAGTAGGAAATTGTGGGAGCACATGCCGAACAGCACAATCCAGATACCCTGCAGCCTTCAAGAAAATATCAACTGATGCTCGCCTATTCTCTGTGACAGACTCGCAGAAATAAAGGAGCAAAATTAAACTTTTGTAACAGGATGAGTGGAGATCTAATGTGAAGCATAGTGAAAGGTTACAACCGAGTATATGTGCATGAATTCATCTACATAAAATATGATTAGATCAACTTGCAAGATATATTTCTGAATCATTGACGCAGCTTTCTCAAACACATGGAAAACTCCTTCCAAACAAGGTAACATTCCCAATTCACCGTGGTCTTCTAATTACTATCAAAGTCGAAGCAATCTTCCCTGGTTTAGAAATTGTATTATTAAAAAATATTGCTTATAAAATACAAAAACTCTAAACAATATATATATATATATATATATATTCATCAAGTAGATATCACCAAATTTGCCCATCTGGGACCATGCACTTGTAAGACCAAAAGTGAATAATGGTATTTGGTCTTTCAATCTCATATGGCACGTTGAGTTGGAGCACTTATGTTTTTTAGGTTTCATTTCACATCACTCTATTTATTACTCAAATTAAGTATACACTTTAAGTGTGGTCTTCAAGTTAGATGGCTGGTTAATTGATTGGAGGCTATATGCTGAAATGCACAAGAAATATCCTGCTGTTCTAATTGCATGCCCATACTTAATTAGGACAGTAGATTCTGAAAAGCATCTTTATGAACTAAACTGTCACCGACATTTCTGTCACTAATTAGATCAACACCTCTGGCCGCCACACCAATCAATCTCTCTTTTCTTTTGTATATATTAAAACAAATTACATCGAGCATGCAATTATAGCCAAGATCCAGATAGACAGTATAAGAAATATCATAAATGGCTTCCTGACCCAGCAGTTACTCTCCAAAATGCTGGACAAGGACAATACCTTATGCTTGCCAAATGAGTTTTAAATTCTAGAAATAAAATTATTAAGAAATGTCACACACAACAAGCTTCATCCCTCGATTCACATAAAGTTTATAGAAAACAACTACCTTCCGATACTTTTGGCTGATAACCATCAGCAGATGTTCTTGGAAGAAGTAACAAGTTGGCCTGTGATAATGATAGCATCGCCATCATATGCAAAACTGACAACACCTCATACCATGCATTAGAAATGGCTGTTTCCTACAAAATTCCACAGTACATATCAAATCAATAATTCTCCATCTCAGAAGGAATTGCAAACCATAAAACAGAAGATTTCAACCGATGGTAAATAGATGAGCTAGAGCACACTCCCACCCACCTCTGCTTCATCTTCTTGATTCATCCACACAAATTGCACATTGTGTTGTAGCTGGCTTCCATCTTTAACTAATCCCAACAGAACAGGCAAGTAGTCTTGAAGAGCCTGGTGAAGATTGGCCAATGTTGAACCTCCTGCAGACAACAAATAACATTGAAATTCAAACAACTTCACCTATTGCTGATCTATCAATCTGCACTGGTATTATTACAACCTACCATGTTGTGTAGCACTTTTTCTCCTTGTTCGTGAAACTGTTGGTGCTTCTTGGCCAGCCATAACAACAACACGAGTTCTCAAAGCAGACAGGCGTTCCATTAAATTCTTAGGCAATTGATCACCAAGTGACAGAGAGAAATCAACGGGCTTTGGTATCCGAAAACCAGGTACATAAACAGAAACTTCCCCTATACTCCCCGGTCTCCTTCGATTTCCACCTGAATCCTGTGGGGTAGACACCAGACATCCCATATCCTAATAGTTACTGTATTCACGAATTCAAGGAACAGAAAGTCAGTTACTGCAGTACAAACAAGTTGTTCAGCAAAAACAATCCCTCTTGCAAGGAAAAACAGTGATTCATAACACAATAAGGGTATTGATTCCTGTGGCATGAAATTGTACGAAGGATGAAGAAAGCAATTAGTTTCATAGAATGTAGACAGCAATCACAAGGAAAAGTGGAGGATTAGCAGTAAACGAGCCACAAATGAAGTAATTAAATTTCCCAACCAACAAAGCACAAGAAGTAGGTCACTCACGAGCAGTCTTCAAATAACTCTTGCTAGAACTCTCCAAAAGCTTTTGAAAAAGATTGTTTGTAGTTGACAATTTCAATCTACATATAATATCCTTCCCCTAACACATTTCATCACCAAACAACAGTAAGAGATAGATTAAGTCACCTGGTCCACAATTAGAAGATTGGAAAACTGGTCAAAACTTCGAGTAATTTCTGCACAGAAAAGGGAGATAAGAATTCAATGACAGAAGGAGTCAATAAAAAGACGAAACCAATAAAAGTAACTGAATCACAAGAAAAGCATGACACAACATAATTCACTATCTTCCCCATTCTGATAAAAGGAAAAATGCAAAAGTGTTATGCAACAACTATAACTTAGAAAGGGAAAAAGTGATGTGCTTTTTCCCATCACACATGAAATAAGACTTTAAAAGAGAAATGTGAAGAAAAAGGGCAATTGGGTTCAAACAGAATTGAAATAGCCTTGCAGAAGAAGCAGCAACCCATACAAAATGGTAGGTTGGTAGCAAGCAAATCGAAAATAACTCGTAGTATTGGAAAATGAAAATGGAAAAAATGCAAATGAATTCCATTAAATCAATTATTACAACAGTAGAAAATTGGACAAAGATTGTGAGTAAAGTGTCTCCAACAGTTTCAAAACAAAAACAAGCAACCTAAAACCCATGAAGCAAAGTAAAGACATCCCCTTTTTTTATCCTTTTCCACTGTACCTGAAATCAATAAGATTGAAGGTCCAAACTTCAACAAAACAAACAAATGCCCAAAACCCATTTGTGCCCAATTCAACAGCTTTTTTAAAGTTAGCTAAATTTGTTAAGAAAATACATCGTAGAATTTCAAGACTACAAGAAACAACTTTTTGCACATGTTAGTATGTTATCATCTCCAAGCAACGAAACAAAACAACCCAAAAGGGAAAGGCGCCATTTTCAACAAGTAAATTGAAAACATACTAAAGAAAGAAAGAGAGAAAAAACTGTCTTACCATCAAAGCTTTTTAACAGAAAGTCACAACTGAACTAAAAGTGAAGCTAACTATAGAGAGGGCAAAAAAGAGTCAAAAATCAAGGATCAAGAACGAAGAACTTCAACAAAACAAGGCTAAATTCAATAATAAGAAATAAAAATTCAAGAAAGAGAAAAGGAAGAGAGAGTTGTTAAGTTTAGAAGGTTCGGAAGAAAATTTGTTGCTTTGTTGAGAACAAAGAGTAAAACTTTCCGTTTATATAAAGAGGATTTATTGTTATTGTTAGCTAGTAAAAAGAGTGTTTGCCTTTTTTATGGTGGCAACTGCGAGTGTATGCGCTTGCTTGGCGCCTAACACGGGCACCCCAACACCCCCTAAAGCTTTCAACTTTTGACTCCATCTTTGTCCTTCAATGCTTTAACCTCAACTTCACTTCTCTTCTCTTCTTGTGCTTTGATTCAAGCATTTTGAGATCCCATGATAGAAAATAGAAAAGGTAAGAATGCCTTTCTCAATCATTATCACGTTACTAGGCTTTCAACTATTTAACAAAATGAGATGAGATGAGACGAGATGTTCTACATTTTGATTATTAAGGGAAGTTTGAGAGTGTAATTAAAATTATGTTTTGACCAATCATGATTTTAAAAATATTTTGTTAATTAATATATATATTACAGTTTTATGTAAAATAAATTGCAAAATATCTCTTAAAATCTTGATTTAGAAAAAATTTAAAAACTATAATTTATAATGTTTTTAAAATCTATTTTTTTTTAAATGCAATTATAAAATATAGTACAATATCAAACACATATCAAAACAATTAATTATATTTTAGTTTAAAAATTAAATTATTGTAATTAAAATTATAAATTTTTTTATAAAATCGTATAATTTTATGAATTAGTATATATTTAATGTGTAAACATGAACTAAAATCTTTAAAATCATTAAAATCAAACTTTATTTGTTCAAAATCATGATTTACAAAGTATAAATACTATTGTTGACTCTAAATTCTCCGATTTGCACTCTTATTGGAGTGTACAGCTCCAAAAATTACACTGAAAAAGAGCCTCTTACAAAGCGAACCCAAACATTGCAGATGCAGGAACTTTTGAGCATGACATGAGGTTTCGTCATTGTTTCGAGGATACCTAATAGGTTATTAGGGTTTGATTTAGGGTTGAAGGATAGCAACCAAAGAGTTAACCACGAGGTTAATAGGAGTTGCTGGTCCTAGCACAGAAATAGTCATATGAGTCTTATTTTTCTTATAAAGTAAATAGAATTGTATTAGTCACTAAAGCGTTTCAAATAAACCGTGTATGGCTTTTGATATTATTCTATGGAATCCATTGCAATATCAAGCAGAAATAGATATAGATAGTATCATATATTCATTAAAATAAAAATAAAAATAAAAAAGAGAGATATAATCCTTAAACAAAAGGGTTATTTTTTGTTCACAAAAGATTGATGAAAATAGAATAGAATCTCATTTCATTATTTTGTCCAACATTGTTGGCTTCCCTAAAATCAATTAGCAAAATCATTCTAATTTCCACCATCAATTCTTAAGTAAACCAAACATTACCTAAAGTAAAAAAAAAAAAAAAGATTGTAACTTCATACAAAATATCATATTTAGTTCGCTCTAAGATTCAAAATAGAATCAAATATTTTTCCATTCTTTCATTTAATTTTCTCTCGACCACAGTACCTTTAAAACTTTTATTATCTATTAGAATTATTGATCTATAATTAGTTAAAAATATTTATGATTTTATCATTTAATTTTACAATCCGAATTTATTGTATTTCAAGTGTTCTGTTAAAGAAATTATTTTTAACAAAACGTTAGAGCAAATCTACTAGTTTGGATAAAGTAGTTAATAGCAGGGGAAAAAGTGATTTTTATAAATGGGTTTTTTATCCTTAAGTTTGGTTTGAGGTAGAGAGGAAATGTTCCTCGTGTTGTACCTCGGGTTTTAATTCTAAAAGACATCGCTAGAAAAAAAAAAAAAAGTATTTAAAATGCACTATTTTTATTTTATTAAGAACTTATTCAAAAATCAGTGGGATAGAGACTTGATTGCAAGGGCAGAATTTTTATTTTTTAAGAGGAAATATAATGATTGAACTTGAACTCTAACTTCTTCTTCTCTTTTCAATTTATTGAGATTTTAGATTTTAACATTTTAAAATAATTTTTGGTTACTGTTTGGGGGTAGAAAATATAAAAAAATTTAAGACGTATTTATATATTCCTGTTTTAAAATAACAAAAATATACTTCAAGAACCATGTCTATTTCCCAAGTATACATATAATATCTTTTTAACCAAATAATTTATGTATATTATATTGAAACATTAACCGACACAACCTAAATATCTTCTTTGAACCCTAACCTCTTAATTCAAAGTATGGAAGAGGATGTTAGGGATCGTTGATTGACATTTCCTGGACAGTAAGTGTCTGGTTGGGTAAAGCCAATCAAATATCTCGAAGAAGATTAGAAGAAGCGATGCGGACAAAACCAAATTCAAGATCACATTAACATGAACCGGACAAAAAAAAAGAGGGGAAAACAATCACTTAGTTTGAATCTTTGAATTTTGCCTTTGTAATTGTAATAACAAGACAAAAGGATCAAAAAGCTGTTGAAACCAGATGAGATACAATAATAATAATAATAATTAAACCATGACGGCAAGCATATAAAGTAGTTATTAAAGTTTAGGCATATAGTGTTTGTTATCATTTTATCATCGCCATCATCATCCTAATTAATGAATAAGTTAACCCTTATTTAACTATATAATCCCAAAGAATGTTCTCCCTCGATGCACTCTGCCCTTGGTAATGCGGTGATCAATAGTTGAAATCCTGTTTAACCCCAACCTTCTTAGTAATTTTTAATAGTTTTATACATACATGGATTCAACTCAATTTTTTTTTAAATATTGGTTATGAAATAATTATAATTTATAGTTTTTTAAAACTTATTTTTTATCAACCCAAAACTGCAAAAAATAATTTATTTTTTAAAAAAAATACTTTTAAAATTAAAAAGACAAAACAAACATCCTTTATATAAATTATTAACATTATAAATTAACATTGACTAGCCTCTGCGCTCTGCTCAACAGTTGTTTAGATAAAAGTATTTGGATTTTTTAAAAAAAATATTGATTATGAAATAATTATAATTTATAAACTTTTCAAATTTATTTTTATTAAATTATAACCATAAAATTTATTACAATATCTAATACAAAAATCTTATTTGGTATTGTAGTAGTTGTTGTTTTAAAAGTATTTTTCACTTTAAAATACATAAATTAATATTTTTATTTTTTAAAATTTATTTTTAATATTAGCATATCAATATACTCTAAAAACATAAAAATAAATTTAAAAAATTCTTTTAAAATAAATATAAAAATCTAAATTAGTAACATTTATCTCCCCCTGCGCTCTGCTCAGCAGTTGCCTCTCCACAACCTATTAACTAGTCTATTGGTGGATGTGTATTGACTTGCTGCCCAAAAGAAACTATAGCCATCATGTATTAATTAGACTATGCATAGAGCTGGTAATAATAGACATTGACTTGGCTAAATTAACTATACAAGTCCCTGCCAACTAAGACAAATACTGGTGATAAGGTTTCCATCTATCATTAATGTGCTTGGAATACTTCCATATCAGGAAATTGGGTGCATAGTTTTTAATAATTATGAGATCTCCTACCTCATTATGGCTCTCTATTTGACGATGCATTCTGCTTTAAAACAAATGATAATAATATCAATAATAAATGCATGAAAATTACTTTCTGTCCTCTTCACCAAGGTAATGCAGTCTGCATCATATATATATATATATATATATATATATATATATAT